TTAAAATATTAGCGTTTATGGGGCCCCTGAAGTTTTTGGGGGCCTGATGGAGCCGCTGACTTAATTTGGATTAAACAGAAGTGCAAATTTGTTGTTTTTAGACTAGTTGTGGGTTTAAATAGCATTTCACTGGAGATTTTTTCCCGTAACAGAATTGCACAGTAATACTTTTACATTTCCTGTCAACTTAACATCTTTTAATACAAAACACGGTGGACCACCGGTGGGCCGCCTCGACGCCCTGACCACCGGGCTTAGCAAGTTTTCTGGGGGAAACTCTGCACTTCCAGCGACCCTGGCATGTTGCCTTGATAAATGAAGAAAACGTGTTAGAAATGTGTTAATATTCTGCAGTTCTGTCATAAATATTTAAAGTCATGAATCAGCTCTGACTGAAATGTCAGCTGCTCATCACTCGTCTTCTGTTCTGCAGGTTCAGGCATTCCTGAGATGAAGACCATCCTGCGAGGGGTGGTGCTGAAGGAGTTTCTCACTTTCAAAATGTTAGTGGCCAAAGTCATTGGTCTGATCTCCGTCCTGGGCAGTGGCATGCCGCTGGGCAAGGAGGTAACACACACACGCGCACACACCCATGCACACACACACACGCAGCAGCACCAATAATCATCCCACACCCTCCCATAATGCCTGCATCAATTTGTGATTCGAACACAAACAGGCCAATGAACAACGTAGGGACAGCACACACTGACCCACACTGCACAAGCTGGCAACTTTGCGAATCACTGACTCACTCGTTGCAGTGCACGACTTGTAGGTCTATAGGCCGCTCTTACTCATGTTGAGGAATGTACAGCTGCAGCTTTATAGTTATTCAGAATTATTCATATGTATAGTTATGGATTTGCATTTGCATTTCAGGAATACACATATCCACTGTTAAAAAAATGGCTCATCAGAAATCTTTATTCCCTCACGTAAAGACAAATATTAAATCGTCATCAGGACTGTGCATTGACTTCCATTCATTTCTATGAATCACCCTAAACCTGAAATCAATTTACACCTTAGTCCTAAACCTACTCTGTAACCCAGCAACAGTACTTCTTATGAGGCCCCATAATAAGTAGTGGGTCCTCACAATGTAGTATTTGTTGGAAAAATGGGCCTTACAAGGTGAGAAATGCTAAAACACACATGTACACAGAAACCCCTGAGGGTCTTTTGCTTACGCACCACTGCAGCAGCATCTGTAGTTTTGATTCAGCACGGATCTCTTCCTCCTCTTTATCTGTGCTCCCCCTTCTAGTTCTCTCACTTTTAATCCCTTCAGTTACGCTTTGAATGGTTTTTTTTTCATAGAGCCCCTGCATGCCGTCACATGTGACTTGAGTAAATGGGGAGGGGGAGTAAAGTGGTGCTTAACCTGAAGTGATTACGTCTGTCTCACGACTTCTGTTTCCTCCTGTCAGAGTCCCTTTGTGCACATCGGCAGTTTGTGTGCTGTTCAGCTCAGCAAGTTTATGTCTCTGTTTGGAGGAACCTATGAGGTGAGTTTCACAGATTTTGGTATGACTCATAAGGATTCCCTGATCCCCATTTCTGCTCAGTTAATTTCAGTCTATTTCACAGATGGCACTAGCAATATTAGGATGTTTACTTTGCTGTTACTCCTTGCAATGTTATCCATACCACTCAAACCTGTTTCACATTTTATCTCATTTTATTTCTTTGTATTTTGTTAAGGTTTACAAATAAAAACCACTAATTAGTGCATATTTGTGAAATAGAAGGATAAAATATACACAGGTTTTTAAAAATATTTACAAATGAAATACTTAAAAATTCAGAGTGGATTAACTTTTAGCCCTCCTTAGTTTGATATTCAACAACCCAGGGGTTTGATGAATTCTGAGAAGTTCTGTGAAATCGTCCAGTAACTTAGAAAGGACCAGCATTGAGGGTATTGTTGGGTGTTGGACAGAGCCACTAAAGTATCTACTTCATTCAGTCTCCATATCCAAGGACTTGGGGGAAGGTGAGGTCATTACAGACGTCATCCAGAAAGTTAAACACTCGCCAGAAATTAGGCACCACATTTGGACTGTAGTTTCAAGAAAAAACTCTGGAAAAAGGTGTTCTGTTCAGGTGGGACCAAAATTAAATGCTTTAGCCTCCATGCAAAAAGTTATTTGTGGAGGGAAAAACACTCCATCACCCTGAACTCAGCATCACATCAGTGAAACATGGTGGCAGAAGTATCATGTTGCAGAGAAACTTGTCTTTAGAAGGAACAGAGATGCTGTTCAGAGCTGACCATATAGGATGATCTAATTAAAAATCTAGAGGCTGTGAAGGACTGGAGATTGGGGCAGAGATTCATTTTTCAGTGGGACTACAACCATAAACGAAGCTGAAATGTAACAGCTTAGTTTCAGGTGTTGGGGTAGGCCAGTTAAACTCCAGATGTAAGACCAACTAAGAATCTGCAGCAGGATTTGAGATTCAAAAAGTTCCTTTGTCCAGTCTGACTGACCTTGATCTACTTAGAAAAGAAGAACAGGTCAACATTTCTGTCTCTTTCTTACTATTTGCTCTTGGTCACATAATATGTCAGTAAAATACATTGACATTGATGGTTATAATGTAAAATAGGAAGAGATTCAAGGAGGGTGACTAGATCCACAAGACACTGTGGTTTTATGTAGTTGCATAAAATAAAAATTATTAAGGTTTTTTTCTGAGACTCAAAATGCTGATTTTCTCCCCTTCTCTCATATTCTCCAATATCTTTTACACAATGTTAACATCCATCAATAACTTATTTTATAAATGTTTAATTTCCCTTTATTTGTCAACAAGCTGCACAGTTTTCAACAACTTTGTGTTTCAATAGGGTTGGAGTTTTATCCATTGGGAGAGCAGTGTGGGATCTTACAGGAAGCAGAGTTTCTCTCTGACTCTCATCTTTCCTTGTAATGAGATGTTAGCAGTGCTCTTTGGGGAATGAACTGTGGGAGAAATTGGAGGGTTTGAAAGCAGCACTTCGGGCAGTTCAGTTGAAAACTTCCTCCCCGATGCATCTATGGTCACAAAAATCACAACAGTTCTGGAAAGAGTTTTTCCAGCTCTGTGCTCTCCTGGTTTACAGGTATGGCTGCGCTACAGTTGTAAAAATACTGCCATTTATAAGCATGGAACCCAAAAAGGCAATATTATCTTTTCTATGCTTCTTTTTAATGTTGCTTTGGTATTGTGTATACATAACTATCTGCCCTCTGACAGATTACTTTTGTTTTTG